GGCTCTGCCAGAAGGGGATTAGAAGAGCCAGTGCCTCCCCAGAATGGGAAATCACTCAGGGAAGGGAATCTTTTTCTTTTTTAAAAAGTAAATCTTTTTTCTTTCTGGGTTTTATCTACTATCAGATCTGTCATTGCCCTAGAAAGAACTTCAGTATGTCAGAAAAGCATACCTCAAGCAGCTGTAATGAGTATCAAATTGATATTTATGAAGTTAACTTTCTCTCACCCAGTAACTGATTGTATAGTTTGTGAATGTCATTCATCTTAGAATTATGTAGTGTTAGAACTAGGAGGGTTTTTCCTTAAAGATGACATAGACCAACCACACCTTTTTTTTTCACTGATAAATCTGAGACTTGAAGTCTCAGTCCTGAAAAAGTAGAAGTCCTAAGGTCTAAGGTCTTCAACACACCCAGGGTAAAGACAGAAACCATATTGGAAGCCAAAACTTCTTATGACTGGATTCCACTGTGTCCCTTGGCCTTTTTTTCTTAGCAAGTCTGTCTAAAAAGTTTTATTTGGAAACTCTAGAGATTGGAAGGGAATGGGTTTTGAGTTTACTGACTTTTCTTATTTTCCTTCCAATCTCTGGAGTTGCCAATAAAACTACTATGTAATACTGCTGTCTAAAGATGAGGCTTGGCTGTTTGTATTATCTCTAGCCCTTATTAGACCTCAGATTAGCAGTATGGTTGCCTTACATACCAGATATTTTCACTACCAGTCATTTGAACCAGGTGGACTGATAATTCTTCATTATTCTTTAATTTCTCTTCATCCTCACTGCTGATTCTGTGTTGGTCTGGGGCTAACTTTTCTTTCGTGAAGTAAGGCTTAATTTAGAATTGTGTATCTATAATTTTGTTGATTATTTTGGCTTCCAATGTGGTTTCTGCTCTTTACTTTGGGTGTGTTGGAGACCCTCTGTGGATTATCTGAAGAATAGCTTCCCTTTACTTACTGGGTCATCTTAGGTGACTTATTGAAATTCTTTAAGCCACCATTGTTCCAACTGCAAAATAGAGATTACAATTTAACCATTGCCATAGTGTCTTTGAATTGAAAAAGTTTTTTATAACATTATTGTATTTTCTATACCTTCATTTTATTTATTTTTATGTGGTGCTGAGGATTGAACCCAGTGCCTCACACATGTTAGGCAAGTGCTCTACCACTGAGCCCCAACTGCAGCCCCAGTATTGAATAAGTTTTTAAAACTACATAGAAAATACTTAGTAGACTAGTTGGTATTACAATCATCATTCTTGAAGAATGAGAGAACAAAGAAGCTAACAATAAATGGTATGTTTAGAAACTTAGAATGGAATGCAAATTTAACCTGCAGTTCTGGCTTCTTTAGCAGTAAATATAAAAATAATAAAAAATATAATGATCAGCAAAAATAATAAAAAATATCATAATAAGAATTGACAGTGATTGGACTTTACTGATACAAAGTGCTTAGTGTTGTTTATTATTAGAATCTTCCCATTCTTTTGGACCATTGTATCTCATGATTTTTAGTGCACAAGTGCAAGCACACTAAATTCAGGGAACTTATCCTATTATTAACAACATAGATTTTATGAGTACTTATTGAATGTGTATTGAGTGAATACTAGAATCTAAACAGACAAACAGATTATACACTGATTCACATGACAGATTCAAACCCTATTAATGGTCAGGACTATTTCCTTTGCGTCATTTTCCCTTTTTATTCTGAAAGTCTCTTACTCAATTTAATAATAAGCTTGTGTGAATTGTGGTTGTACATTTTGTGGATTATCTAAAGCATAGCTTTGATCTCTGACTTGCTTTTTCCCCTATGAATATATCTGGTATATATTCACAGTTTAGAATGTCTACTAATGTTTCTGCTGTCCTGATCAGGGCTCCTTTAGGAAAGTAAATCAGGGCATTCTAAAACCATGTACAGGCAAATGTTTAGGTAGTAAATGCAGCATGTATGACTACAACTATATAGAGATGCAAGAGTGAATTGTATGCTTGATATGTATTCATGAGAACCAAATATCAGAACTGAGTTGTTTGAGAAATCATAGAAAGGAGTCTCAACTCTCACTTCCCATTCTTATCTTCTCCTCACCTTTTATCCCACTGAAGAATACCACAGACTCCCCTTGCCCAATGAGAAGCTTCAGCCAATACCCCCTATCTGTCTGCTTTGTCACTCTGCATCACCCTGCCACACAGAAGCAAGAATGACACACATCCTACCCACCACTGCATTGGAAATTCAAGGCAGCTGCATCTCACAGCAGCTCTGATGCTGAGAGTTAAGAAACCTTCCCTCTTAAATTTCAGTAAGGTTCTCATTTTCCAAGACTCCCTTCTATTGTATGATGGTACAGAGGTGAACATGATGTGCACTTCAGAGTATGGCCCCAAGGGTCATAGCAGTAGATCTGCAGAGTTGGCAGATCACCGAATAGTTTATAACTCCCCACTCAGCAGGGCATGGTCACCTTAGAGAATGGATGGAAAATATCCCCTTGCTATAATTGGGTTCAGCCCTGTGGCTTTACACCATCTTATTTGGCAATCTTTTTACTCTTGACATATTTAGTAATCACTCTAAGGGAGATTTATTACACTGCTCATGGGAACAAACAATGCACTAAATATTACACATATGCATGCTTTCAATACCACTCCTTTTCTAGTCTACTATGAATCTTTCCCCAAAGTCTTTCTTTTAATGCTAATCAAAACTCCCTCATATTTAAATTTAAATTCTTCTTCATTCTTCCTTCTTCCAAAATAACCATGTACATCTTGAAAATTTTTGTAATTAGCCTTTTTTTTTCCAGTACTGTGGATCAAATCCAGGGTCTTGTTCTCTACCCTATGTATGTACATATCTATCTATCTATCCATCCATCTAGATAGATAGATAGATATGTACATACATACACACATACATATCCATCCTCAATCCCAGGAACTTTTCAATCAAAATTTGTTGGGACATGCTTGAAGAAGAATAGATGAAAACACATTTTTTTTTCAGTCCCAAACCACCGAAAGACATATTGCTGACCATTAATCCCAAACACAAAACCAGAAATTTACCATATAATTAGGGTTGTGAAAATAGCTTCTTAGGTATCTCTGGGAAGTGGGGGGGGTAGACAGAGATAGACATATCAAAATATTTCAGCTAAATATAATTCAATAAAGTATTTTCTAAACCTCAAATTTGGCACTCTTACAGAGATATGGGGGAAGGGGACAGTGAGAATTTGGATTAACAGCTCATTGCCTGTGCTAACTAAAGGACTTCGACAGCTGGTGCCCCTCAGACATTTTCAAAAAAGCATAATATCCCACTCACCCAGACATATGCACAGCAAAATATCTTAACAAATTAGTCAATCTAAAACATATTTGAGAGAAAATATATCCAAGTCATGGAGACACTAAGGGGAAAGTCTACTCAGTGCTAGGCACAGTCCTAGATGTACTCATTTACTTAACACTCAACTACATATCTGCCACTGACCTAATTTTGCAGACTGGCCCACATTTTACACAGAAAAGGCAAAGCTACCATAAGAATGACTAGCTGGCTGGTCAAAACAGCTAAACTGGGGACCCAAGTAGATAGCTACAGCTGAAACAGTCACATGATGACATTTTAAAAGACAGCAATTAACCCTACCACCTCTATCTTCAGGGTTTTCTCAAGCCCCAATTTTCTCAACTGTAATATTAATTGTTGAGAGAATTTAAGGTATATAGCCCTAACACATGGTAGTTCATTTAAGTCACTTACTCCCCCTCCACCACCACACACATATTTTCTCATCTTTCAGTTAGATTACACATATTCCTACATATCTGAACTTTTAGGGGCAATACATAAAAAGCACAAATGCAGGAATTAATGGTGGCAAGAACCCTTATTCAGCTGCTGGCATTGCTAACCTAGAAGTGTGTGCTAAGGGGCTAGAAAAGCCCAGATTCTGGAGCCAGACTGCCTGATTTAGCCTAGCCCTGCCTCTTATTACATGTGTGACCTTAGCAAGTGACTTGGCTTCTCTTTGTCTCAATCTCCTCATCTGAAACATGAGGCTAGTATTCACACTACATTATAGTTATCTATAAGAATCAAGTAAGCTAATCTGCATAAAGACCTAGCACTGCAGTAGGGGCTATTCAATTAATGTTTGTATTTGCATATATATTTTGATGGTAGACATATACATTATCTGGGCATAGTAAATTTGACAGGAGGCAATGGGTAGAGTAAATCCCACTGGGCTCTTTTAGTATGATTCCCATGATCCCAGCCAGCCTCTTTCAATTTTGTATCCTTTCCCATATATGCAGACAAGGAGTACCAAAGAATACAAGGGCTCTCAAGGTGAAATTCTTTTCTATTATGGTATAGAGTGATTAGATGAGGAGATTATTTAGTTTCTCAGCAGTGGCCTGGACTGCAGAGGAACTCTGCATTCAGAATTGTACCTTATTTTCTTTTTAAATCATGTTTTCCAGAGGAAGACAGAACAGGGGACCTATAATATTGTCAAACATTATAGACCAACTGGGTCACAAATAATAACATGTGGAAATAATGCTGGTGCTTTGATGCAACACTTGTTGAACTTTAGCTGCATCAGAACCCCTGGAGGCCTTGTGAAAACCCAAATCCTAGGATCTACCCTAAGAGATTCTGATTTACTAGGTCTGGAATAGGGCCTGAGAATCTTCATTTCTGATAAGCTCTAAGGTTATGTTGATGCTGCTGGTCCAGGGGCCACATTGTGAAAACCACTGGTCAAACATGTGTTTTGCATTTCTCATTTCAGATCTAAGGTTTCAAATTTTCATTTGAACATTTTGGCTTACAGATGGAATACATGATCCCCTCCTTCAAAAACACAAGGGAAATATTTGAACTCAGAGTAATGTTACTTCTTAATGTCTAATTTTATGTAATAAATACTGATTATTATTTTTTCCCCATAGTTGCATGCTGCTGTGACCAAGATCCAGGTTCCAAGGCCTGGTTTTAATTACACGTTTGCCCACATATGTATCCTGAATAACGATAAGACTTGCATCGTGGATGACATAGTACACGTCCTGGAAGAGTTAAAGAATGCTCGGGCTACAAATCGGACCAATTTTGCTATCACATACCCGATCACCCACTTAAAGGACGGTAGGGCCGTATACAATGGACACCAGCTTGGGGGCGTCACTGTGCACAGCAAGGATCGGGTGAAATCTGCAGAGGCTATTCAGCTCACCTACTACCTGCAGTCAATCAACAGTCTCAATGACATGGTGGCTGAGAGGTGGGAGTCCAGCTTCTGTGACACTGTCAAACTGTTCCAGAAATACAACAGTAAAGTCAAAATGTACCCTTACACATCCTCGTCACTGAGGGAAGATTTCCAGAAGACCAGCCGTGTGTCAGAACGTTACCTGGTCACCAGCCTGATCCTGGTAGTCACCATGGCCATCCTCTGCTGCTCTATGCAGGACTGCGTCCGCAGCAAACCCTGGCTAGGCCTGCTTGGGTTGGTAACCATAAGCCTAGCCACTCTCACTGCAGCTGGGATCATCAATCTTACTGGTGGGAAATACAATTCCACCTTCCTGGGAGTCCCTTTCGTCATGCTAGGTAATTACTGCCCTTCATTTTTCTTTTTTCTCCTGTTGATGGTGTTAACTGGGTCCCTACAAGGTCAAGAATAGCCATATAACAATTTTGTTTCATTTATTGCATCTTCATTGTGCTCAGAAGTCCTAGGATCCATTCTAAAAGGTACTGGTCATCAGCAAGAAGCAACCCAATCTTATACATGTGCCAGAAACAGAAAGACTTGGGTTCTAGCCCTGATCTTCCATTAAATAGCTATGTGTATTTAGCAGACATTAATCTTCTCTGGGCCCCAGTGTTTTAAGTTGGGTTTCCTCAGAAGCAGACCCTGAGACAAGGATTCAGATACAAGGCATTTATTTGGGAAGAAAGCCCAGGAAGCACCAGTATGGCAGTGACAAAGTGAGACAGGAAGGCAGACAGCTCAGATTGATGATCAGGTTACTGTTCTAGGCATCTGTGGCTCAGTCCTGCTGGAGACCTTTGGGAGAAATGGAAGAATACACCTCAAGATAGGTCCTCCCCTGAGGGATGAGGAAGCTGTAATATATTTTTTAAAAGAGAGAGAGAGAGAATTTTTTTTAATATTTATTTTTTAGTTTTTGGCGGACACACATCTTTGTTTGAATGTGGTGTTGAGGACTGAATCTGGGCCGCATGCATGCCAGGCGAGCCTGCTACCACTGGAGCCACATCCCCAGCCCAGGAAGCTGTAATATTTATCCAGAAACCCTGTGTGTGATTGATTCATTGAGGGATTCTACTCAGGGTAGTTAAGTCCTCAGCACTTCCCCCAGAAAAAGTAAGCACACTCCTGCAGCCAAAGAAAGCCCTCAGGTAACTCTGTAGCAAGAAGCTTTCATTAAGTGCAAGAATGGTGAATGGGAGGACACATGGGTTAGGCACTGATAATGTATTCAACCCACAGTTTCCCCACCTTATGGATAGGGTGGATGTGAGCAGCAAATAGAGGACAGCAACATGTGACATCAATAGGAAGTTTTCTTCTCCCTGCTTTTACTACAAACTCAAAGAGAATATTTTAAGAGTGATGGTGATGGTGTGTTTTCAGTATGTTCACTCTAGGGGACCTCAGGAATTCCCTGAAAGAGATAATGGTCAAAACAAAGTCACTGTGGTCATAACATCAGTTGCTTTGTCCATTCAGTAAAAGAGATGAAACGTCCACCCAGCCTGATAGCAGAGCTCCTTACAGGCCAAGGATTCAAGCAGTTAGCATTCTCCCTTTTTTGTGTCAACTTCTCATCAATTCCTTTAGCAAAATTAAAATGTCATTTGGAATTAGATACTAACATTACGAATGAAGTGGCATTTTTTGTTGACTAGGAAATAACCATGATGGAGTTCATTAGTATGCCTTCTGTGCTATTTTGGAGTAGTAGAAAAACAAAGAATTTTCTCAGGAAATCTCAACTGCTTTATGGTTAAGTGATAAGCAGGGCTGGTGGAGCTGCAAGGCCACAAAATTACATTCTGCCCTCTATGCTCTGTGGCCTGAGGGAATTAAGACCTCGTCAATAAACCATATACAAGTAGCTTTTGTGGAAAGTGGGGCACTGTGTGAAGACTAAGCAGTCTGAGAATTTGCTAGAGCAGTTTACTTGTCACTGCCAAAAACAACAGAGAACAGGATTGCAGTACTTCTTCCTGAGTTCAGTCTGTTAAGAGGGCAGTATAACTTGCTTCTTTAAAATAATCCCAAGACTATGTGGGTCGATTCTGGAATACAAGGAGGTGCCTTGAAGAGTGAGTAGGACTGAGTATTAGTAGCTTCCACAGAGACTTGAGTCAAGGTTTAAATTAAGATGTTTTGCTCATGATTAGTCACATGCTTAAGTGGTTGGGGGGTGGGTGGAAGGATTTTAGCTTTTCATTTTAAAAATAGTGTTTTTGTTGTTGCTTTTGCAGGAGGAAGATAAACAGGAATAAGAAAAGGGTGGGGGACTGAAAGGAGATAGTAGGGATCTTAAGGTGAGGGGAAAAGAATGTCAGAGCTAGAAAAAGGACTATTGCTGCTGGCTTTATGACACTCTAGGTTGTTACCAGTGAGCTTAAAGCACATTACAATATTTAAAGCTTCTTAAAAATTAATTATACAAAGTAAAATAAAACTATGATTAAAGTTTCTTAGAATTAATTTTAAATAAAATAGCTGTATTCCAAATTCTTAAAATGAATTTTGTTATATAAAATAAATTGCAGTATTTAATCCTTCTTAAAACTTATCTTTGTACTTTTTGAAGTAGTTTGAAATATTTTAAGTAAAAACCAACACAAAAAAATAATATGAGGGGCTGGGGTTGTGGCTCTGTGGTGAAGCACTTGCCTAGCATGTGTGAGGCATTGGGTTCAATTCTCAGCACCACATATAAAGAAAAAAAGTAAAGATCCATTGACAACTAAAAAAAACTAAAATTTTTTTAAAAAAGAATATGCAACATGTGAGACATCAGTGGGATTGCTGGGGCTGCAAGGCCACAGATTTTTTTTCCTATTCCTGTTATGAACTCAGGGGAAGGTTATAATGTGGTGGTGATGGTGTATTCACTCTGCGGGGCTATAGGAGATCCCTGAAACAGAAAATGGTCAAAACAAAGACACAGTGATCATAGCATCAGTTGCTCTCTCTGGTAGTACTGGATCTGGAAAGGAGATAAGAGATGGTGGAATAGAATGATGCTATAAGCACAGAAGTGTCTTTTAAAAACAAGTCCAGAAATAGTACATAGCTCCACAATTCAACAGAGACCAAGTATCATTGAACTTTACATCAGAGTTCAATTCAGAAGAATCAGGTATTTTTAGTGAAAGAGAACAAGCACTGCAAGTGCCTAATATTCCCTTGTTTGCAATTTGTGAGGAATGTTACATGCATTGATTGTGATGGCAGTTTTCCCTGCTGACAATCAGTGTGCAACCTTTCTGTACATTTTCAGCCCAAAGAGTTCTCAAATTACTCAGTCACAACATAAAAGGAAGCTATGCATTTTAGTAGCTAAGGCCCATTTGCAATAAATACTTTGTGTGATATAATGAGTGCTTAATATGTTCATAAAGCTAACAGTGCCTGTATTTAGGACGGTTGCCTTTCTGGATTTCTCAGATAAACTCTTCATTCTTAGAGTATGAGTGTAAAATGAAGTATAAGTGAGAGCAGATTCATAAATGTTGTATTCAAGGCCAATGTTTAGTTGTGCTTTTTTTTGATGATGATCTGTCCTAAAATACCAATGAATAATTCAAATGACCAAGAATTAATGCAGTGGTAAGGGTTTTATACAAGTCAATTAACTGTCCCATTTTTAAATTTGCCTGCCCATAACATCATAAGTGCTATGCTTAATCTAAGCAGATTTAAGCAAAATTTCTTGATTTTTAGTACTTTTTATAAATAAAATATCAAATCAAATTTATTATAATCTCATTTAGGGGGAAAACTATCTTAGAAAAAGTCTCAAATGCAGATATTTTCCTGGCTGTCAATAGGTCTATAATAGATAAACATTATAGACTTAAAATTCAACAAACATTCTCAGTGTGATGCCGGTCACATAAGGCCAGATCCAGCCACATGCCAAAATGGCAGTAGATTTAGAATGGAAAATTTTAAGACCACGTGTGTTATGCAGTATTAAGCTGACAAAATTCCAGAAGAAGAAAGAATTTGGATAAACTCTGAGAGTTCACCATAATGGGATATGATTGTGTGTTTCTAGCCAAGATGATACGTGACATCTCTGGCAATAAGAATATATCCTACACAGATGAATCATTTTGGCAATGATGTAAGCATAGATACATCATGATTTAGAATGTTTTTAATCAGTGTCATGCATATTAGACAATCCCACTTCTGCCAAAACCTCTGTCCAGATGAGTCACATCAGTTTATTTAGAGCTGAAATCCTAAAAGGTCTATAGTATTATAAATGCTCATTGATAGTTACTGTAATTTGGAGAAGAGTTTATTTGCTCTATATTCAATAACATGCATAAAATAACATTCCTTTTTTCCAAACTACATTGATATCAGGTAGTGAGGTATTTAGCATTTGTAAATATATCACACATCATTTTAATTCATTATCAAATTTCCTTTAAATGATGAGAATTCACACCATTGTTCTCCAGTTAAGTATGATTTGAGAAATTGGCATAAGTTTTGTATGTGCAAGCTCTCCTTATAGGCGTACTATTTCCATAGCTTTGCTGATCAGACACAAATCAGGAAAGGAATGGAATGTTAGAGAATATAGAAGAAACAGAAGGAAGATTTTTCTTCCTTGTGCATATGGAAAGTTTGTTGCTTCATGTACATTCTGTGCTGCTAAAAGGAGAGAACTGAAGTCATGGTGAAAGATAGTTTAGGTATTAGTTCCTAAGTGGTAATCTATTTATAAAGGTCACTTTGCCTTTGAGATACAAGACCCTGGAGATCAGATAAAATAAAAAATACTCCTCAAGCCCCATTTCAAATATTTAGAAATTTTGAAGAACACAAATATCCAGGGGTGCCTTCTTCCTTCTTAATTATCTAACCAGTCCATACAGATTCAGGATGTGAAAGGAAGAAAATGTGGATTAAGTGCTAGGAGAAGAATAATAGCAGGGAAATTTGACTTCTTCCAGCTATTATACCAAGATTATCTGTATTTTTAGCAGAAATCAAGTTAGTTTCAGTTCTTTAAAGCTTTGTTCTCATATTATGCCACTTGAAATATGATGCAGCATATGGAAGACATAAAAGTGGTTTGAGACTGGGTGTGGTGGTGCATGCCTGTAATCCAGTGATTCAGGAAGCTAAGGCAAGGCAGGATCACAAGTTCGAGGCTGCCCTCAGCAATTTAGTGAGGCCTGGCCTCAAAATAAAACACAAAAAAGGATTGGAGAAATAGCTCAGTGGCAAAGCAACCTGGGTTCAATCCCAAATACCAAAAAGGGGGAGGGGTAAAAGTTCTTGTATAAGAATTTAGGTCCACCTGAAAAACTGTATCTCTCAA